CCTCCAAGGATGGAGGTACTACAAAGCCTCTGGTTAGCTTGTCCCAGGGATGCACCGCGCTCCTGGTGAATAAATTTTCCTGAAGTCTTATTAGAAACTGCAAAGGTGCAGTTTGATGCTGTCACCCACTGGGATACTATCTGCTGCTACTGATTTTGCAACTCCCTCCACAAGCAGTTGTGGATGCCTAGGCCTCCTCTTCTCTGGATTAAACTATCCCAGCTCACTCTACCTCTTCTCATAAGCCATGTCCCCCAGGCCAATGACCACTCTGAAATCCCTTTGCTGGATTCTATTTTCTCAACATCTTTCTTGAACCAGGGGACCTGAAGCTGGTCATGATGCTGATGATGTGGGTGAGGTCTCCAACATGGAGAAGAAGGTGTTAGTAACTTCCCTCAAAGTGCTGGCGTCCTTCTTTGTATTGTGATGAGACTGTACTGGTGGCTCATACACAACACAGCCCATGTCCTTTCCAATGGCACCACTAACATCTGATTCCCAGCCTGCACCAGTGAGTTGGGGTTTTTCCTGTCCTAGGCACAGGACTCTGTACTTCTCTTTTCTGAACTTCCTTGTCTGTCTCTTGTACCAGTGTCAAGCTTCTCTGTGTCCCTTGTGGTCAACGCTCTTTCATGTGGCATGTGGCATTACCATCTGTCATGAGGATGCACCTTTGTCTCTTCACGTAGGTAACTGATGATGCTGCAATATTAGCCCCAATATTAGCCCCAGTCTAATACTGGAGCCCAGTGGTCCAGCCAATTTACACCTCACCCAACAATCCAGCCTTCCAGCCTGTACTTCCACAGCTTCTTTCCAAGAGTGCTTTAGAGATGGTGTTGAAAGCCTTCCTGAAGCCAAGTAGCGTTACATACGCTGCCTCCCCACATCCCCATAGCCAGGCATTTCATCACAGAAGGCAGTTCTATTGGTCAGGCCCAATTTGCACTTCATAAATCTTTGCTCTGTTCCATGTTTGGAAGTGGACTCAAGAGGTTGTGCTTCCTGCACTTGCCTGGGGCTTGAGACAAGGCTGACTGTACCATGTCCTTCACCTCAAAGACAGGCACAGCACTGGCCCAGTCTCCAGGAACTTCCCCGAGTCAGTGTGATTTTTCTGGCTGAAGCTAACTGTCAGTTTGAGCCCCTTGGGGTGAATCCCATTCAGCTCCATGAATCTCTCTACATCCAGCCTCTCTAAGCAGTCCCTGCTACTGCCCACACCCTTCCATCCCAGGCTGTTGGGAAACACACGGAGCTCTGGTGCGTGCAGAGAAGAGTACATCAGCCTTTTCCCATATCTCATGTCACTTGGTTGTCTCCTTCACTCTTTGGTGGACTCACAGTGTTCACTACGGGCTGCCTCATCTGGGAACAGTATACTTGGAGCTGCCCTGAGAACCCTCTAGATCTCCAGCACTGAGCGTGGGAAGCCTGCAGGCACAGGGCTCCTAGCCTTTGGAGAAGAGACAAACCTGGGAGGAGAGGAGCTTCCAGGGCAGCCTTGACAGCTGGCTGCACATCTGAAACCAACCAGTGACAAATGTGCAAAGCCTTGAGCAGCTCAGAGACATCAGTGCGGGGGAGCTGGGATTCATTGACTGTACAACCAAAGAGCTGAGAACCAACCAGGCTCAAATCCCATTCATTACTTAAAACCCACAGGGTGAACTCTTAGCTTTCTGAACTCCTTTCCATGCCATTGATGAACATAACCCGCAAAGCATGCGAAGAACAGGGTAGTCATCAACCTGCTCATGCCTCTAGTTATCTTCTAAGCAATTATCTTCTGAAGATACACTTTAATTAAGGCTGCAGTAATGGCTGCTTCACTCTATTGCAATGCAGAGTAAATGAAAATATGCCAGACATTTCTGCTCTTCATGGCTCACAAAGCCTTAACCCTTGTGCTGACTGTCAGCCATATGTGATATTGGCAGCAGGTCCTATCCATTCTCTACAGAAGAAAGAAGAAAAGAAAGAGGATGCTCTGGTACAATCAAAAGACAACTTCGCTCCCTCTTAAAGGAAAATGCAAGACATTTGTTTAAATGTCTATAAATACTGCATACAAATTCCCCTGCATGTCAGTGCTGCTGGTACAGTAGGGACTCTGTATGCCTTTGGTTAAGCATTTCCCATTTGGATATATTAAAATGCATGTAAATCTTCAGCTGGATCTCAGAAGGAAGCTTACAATAGCCAGGGCCTAACATCAGGCAACGTATTTGCAGCAAGGCATTTATTAATGCAGTGAATTTAGCTCCATTTCCTGTTTGCAGTGTATCCAACTAACAGACCTCAGTTGTTATTCCAAATGTGTTTATAATTGCATCTTATTTCAGGCCTGTTTTGTTTGTACATATTCCAGCCTAAGGAAGGTCACACGCACTCCCTTGTTTGAGTACAACCGCTCACCCACATGACGTGGTGTTTTCCTGGATGACTGAAACCTTTGTGAACAGCCAGCTGCTGCTCTCCCACACAGCCCCAAACACATCTGCACCATATTGACTGGTGGGCACGAGCCAGACCCCTCAGCACACAGCTTTCCTCTGCCATGCTCAAAGAACCCAAAAGGTCTCCTTGGGACCACTGGGTGAGGAAACTCCAGGGGAAGATGCTCAGGTCTGTAGTGGCTGTGATGGTTCATGGCTTGCCTGGCTGGAAAGCAGCTCCTACACCACCTGAGGGGCAGAAGGTTCTCCTAACCTCTGCCCCACGGCCAAACCATTTCACCAGGCAGGGGAAAGAGTAATGAAGTATGTGCCATTTTCAAAATGCCATTAAGAACATTGCTTAACGGCCTCAGGAGCCCCAGACCTTTCCAGGAGAGGAAGCTCCCTTCTAGACAGCTTTTGTTCAGGCACCAGTATGACCTCTCCATCAAGGGCTCTGCTTACAGGCACAGCTGAGGTGGGTTATTGTGATACCACTGTTTGGAGAAACAATCTAGTTCTGCTAAATTCCTTCTGCAAGTCCTCTGAATATAAGGTCCGAGATTTTTAATGGCGTGTGGGTGTTGTTCTGTTTAACGTTGCAAAACTTACACATGACTTGGCTAAATCTTATTTTCAGAAGTGACAGAGGTCCTCAGGAGCATAAGGAGTCAGGGCAGGATTTTAAAAGCTGGTTGAGACATGATCTGGTTTCATTTGAACAGACAGGAGACAAATAAGGACCTACAAAGATACCCTGGCAGTGGTAAAAAAAGCTTATGAACCGCCTAGTCATTTCACTTTACAACCACCAAAGTATTAACACCTCACTTCAAGATCAATCCCAGGGAAAAGGGAAGAAAAAAAACCAAGATTTGAATAAATGTACAAAAGGAAGGGGCAACAGGTGATAAATTCTGAAGGACTACTGCATAAGGTGACGGTAAATCCTTTCTGAGCAGACCTCAGAAGCACTAGATGGGAAGGCACTGCCTGATGCATTGGGAGTCAAGACAGCAAAAATGAAAACCTGAAATATTTTGGTCTATTTTGCCAGAAAAACAGCTTATGTAATCACATTCTAAGTGTATCCATGCCTCTTTCTTCCCCCAGGTGTCACTTTTTATCAAATTAAATGGAAGTAACCTTCCAAAGAATTTAATTTACAACTTCCATAAAAATAGACAAATAGAGAAGATGCCTTTTTGAGCTGCAACACAAACTCAACTCTTTTTTAAGCAGAGAGCCCAGAAGAGGAAATTACTCTTGTACATAATGCTCTCACTGTAGGAAAAGCTTAAGTGGTACCAAGTCCTTAAAACACTGGCTCAGGAACAAGATCTACGTACATTAGAGAACTGGCAACATCATGATCCTCAGCTACAAGTCTCCCTGCTGCATGGACAACAGCTTTTGAAGCAGGCAAAAAGCAGCTTCAAGGTAAATCAGCATCACATTTTGCTCACCTTAACAAACCATCTGTTATAAGCCGTAGCAGTGGCCAGCTGCTTCAGTTCAGCCACCAAGGCAGATGGTATTGACAAACCTATTTGTTGAAGAAGGGGAGGTTCCTTGAGGCATCGGCAGGGAATGAAAGCAGAGGGGAAGCAAACTCTGAGAACAGAGTAATGGAGAGTCAAGCTTGAGCTGACAGTAAAACTGAGAGCAAAAAAATAAATAGGTTAGTAATAAAAAGGCAAGAGTGGAAACATCCAAGATTGGAGATTTGTACAACTCATCCACAAGCATGAAACAGGAAGTCACCAAGCAACAGCGAAACGAGAAGAAACAGAAAAGATCAAGAGCCAAAGAAAATAAAGAAAAGGAAAAAAAAAGAGCTGAAAAGCAAATTGTTTGGAAGTACAGAAAGGTGGGGGGGTGGGGACGGGACGGGATGGTGCAGGGAAAGCCAGAGGCCAGTCATCAGCATTTCATTCTGTTCCTTTTTGCCATCTTACAAACTAACTTTTCTTCTATTTCTGGAGAAGCTCTTTCTCCTCCTTAGTCAGAAGGCATTTCTTACTGCCAGCTTTCCATGGGCTTCATGCTGCTACTTTGCAGGCAACAATAAACAAGAGCCAATGGGAGGAAACTCCAGACCTCATTCAGGAATTAGCATGGGCAGCAGCTCTGACCATGTTTCTTCCCCATGCAAAGATCCTCCTACACACACCTGAAATCACACTTTTGTTTTTGACACAAAACACTTGACAGTGTCTCATTCCTAATTAAACTGTTTTGTACATTAAGAATTGCCACAGAACGAATTACTTTTTGAATAAATTTGTATTTTTCTGAAGCGGGAAACCCTCTTCCATGTGAATAGATAGATGGACAATAGGGAAAAGTAGGACACAACAGGCTCTGACTACCTGAAGTGCCTGAAGCCCAGCTGAAGCAGAACTGAGGCTTTGGTGGGAATCTTGAAGTTCCACTTCCCAAAGTGGTGAACACCAGAGCCTAAAAAAACCCCAGAAATTACTTAACAAATTAAAAGAGAAAAAACCCCATCCTTTAGGTATTGCATGCATGCGATACGCAGTAACCACCTGCAGCTCATAGCTTCAAAGGGTGCTTTATTTCTTTTCAGTACAGATTCAGTCCAGTTCACAGAGAACATGTTAGTTTATACATATCTTCACTTTGCAGGAAAAATGGACATGAACACATGAGCACTCAGTCACCAGCCTTTGATAGGCAATTTATGCCATTTTTGCCTCACAAGCATTGTGTATGGAACACAGGTTTCATTAGCATCCTATATAGGACCACTGTAACATCATCCTAAAAACACAGGACAGCAGGATGTAAATCTCAGGACTGTAAAACTGCATATATATGTACTGCTTGGGGATTTAACTTTCAAAATCCTGATCTTGACATTAACTTGAAAGTTTGTTTTAAAAGAATGTGTCCCTGAATAGTCTATGTTCTTCCTTGAGGCACACGTTCAAGTTCAGGCTTTGGATAGCAGTCTTTATTTCAAGCAGCCATTGAGAGCTGAGACTTGGAGCAGACAAAACTGCCTTAAAACCAGCTCTCAGCAAGCTGCAATAGCAGCTAATAGGAAGAAGGGTACCTGAATCTCAGCAGAACAAAGCAGTCTTGCATGTTTAACCATGTAATTAGGACCTGAAATACCAATGAAGGCAGTTCCTGTTAACCTACCAAACTTACCTTTCCTTGTTAGATACATGGTCTGGTAATGCTCGTGAGGCTTTGGGTTTTAAGACTGGAAAAGCTCATCTATTTCCCCTGAACATCCATGCTTATACCAGGTGGTCTAGCAAAAGACACTGTTGCTGTTCACAAAAATCTTTATTACTTACATCAGTTATTTGATAACACCCAGTACAAACTATCCCCATCACAGACAGAGGTTCTGTCTTAAAGTAAAATAAAGCTGATAAATACTGTAGGCAGTTATCTTCTACACGAAAAAAAATAAAAATCCCCAAATCTTCTTTCTGAGGGGCATTAAAAGCTAACTTATTCTAAACCATGCTGGCTGTAAGGGTGACAAAACACCAACATCCTCTACAACCTAAACTGAAACAGACAGAATATGGAAAAGACTCACAGAACGAAGATGAGAAGACAGAAAAGGGACTACTAAAAAGATACTTCCACTCTGAAGCATGTTTCAACTAGCTTAGATTTTCAAAGTCATTTTAGAAGTTCTGTACATTTAACTTGCTCCTGAAAACACTATATTTCTGACCTTTCCACCTAATTATTTTTCTCTCCTTTCAAAGAGCAACAGAAAAGGAGAAAACAGATCACAGGAGAGACAATGAAAGCGGTGAGTTAGCATACACTAGCAAGTACAGAAAGTATTCTCTATGCTGTCAAATGTAAGATCAACATGGCAACTTTCATTTTTCCTCCACTTAAACCAATTGCATTTTAAAATGTTTAAAAGAAAATATCCAAAGTTCATGGCCAAGCTCCTCAAAGTTAAAACACAGCATCTTACAACTGAGAGAACACTTGTCTTTTTATTTGTAAACCAGAGTTTGAAATATCTTACAACAGATTTTTAACTTCTTTTTTTTTAAGGAAACAGCACTTAAGAACTGAAAGAACAGTGTGCCATTAAATGTTAAGGACCATATTTTAAAAACCTTTATTAAAAAAGGTTATGTATGAATTTAACGGTATGATGAATTTAAGTTGTATTTTAAAGTCAACTACTTAAGCATCTAAATGATTGAAAATGAAGTGCAAAACTGGAATTCCAGTCAAAGATGAGGCTGTAGAGTTGTGCTTAAGACAGATGAGGTCTACCTACGGCAGGCACAGCTGCACGCTCCCAAGCTAACTTGGTCTGTCTCAGCCATGAATCCTGCAGATCTGAATGACACTGCTGATTATGTCAGTTTGATCTATTTAATATAAACTCTCCCTTTCTAATAAGAAGGATATTAACTAAAGCTTTCAGTTAAGCAATAAAACCTTTCTAATTAGCAACAAAAAAATAAAAGTGACATGCTTGCTCTGTTTCAGGCACTTTCAAGATCATAGTTTATTTACTGCAGGTAAAAAGCTAGTATACAGATTAAGGGAACCCTTAAATTTCTACTCTACAGTTATACACCATCTAGTATTCTTGCTCTGAATATTAACCAAAAAAGTTTCTAAACACCTGTAAGCCCCACTATAAATCTGCATTTTTATGATGAAAAAAAAGAAGAAATGTAAATTGTTGCTTAATTTTTTCAATGCACAATATTTACACTGTGAAATGGAAGAACAAGGAGTAGCAAAGAGGCAGTACATTTTAAAAAGACAGAGTTTTATATTTTTTTCACAAGTGGGCTAATCAGCATAACTGTATGTAAAAAAAAAATATTAAAAAAATCAAAGTATAGCAGAGTGTCCCATGACAGAAATCTTAATTGTCTTAACTGCAGTCATTATTTGCTAACTGTTTACATGCAGCAACTGCTAGGACTGAATTTCCGCTTTTAAAGTGTAAAATAGATTATGAGATTTAAGAGACAAACATTAATTTGTGTACGAAATAAAAAACTGCACTCTAGAATTGTACTGGTCACTCTTCCATAAAAAAAGGGAGAAGAAAAGAAACAACAAAACAAAGTACGCACAATGATAAAAAGCAGTCTCTTTCCGTACACTTAATTATCAAAGGCAATGCATAGACTGAGAATACCTGAATGGCAAACTCTGCAGACATTGGAAACAAACAGCTTTCACATACATGCTCTTTACAGGAGGCCTCTCTTTCCATTGAATGGCAATGGCTGACAGCAAATAAGGGGCACCAGGTGTACAACTAAGTAGATCTTGCAAAATACTAAGATGGGGCAGTTGTTAATATACAATTTGAACTATATATACAATATAATGGAATGTATCCCATCCCAAAACTGGTTTATGAAACAACTGGACCTTTCCATACTAGCCTTATGACTCAGCTATCATTCTAATTAAAACTACACAAGAGACTTACATAAAAAGTAAAATTAACGGGGCCTTTTACAAGAACTATTGACAAAGCTGCTTAATGGCATTTCTGCTTTTAAAGTAATTTTGTTGGATATAATTGAAATGACATCTGTGTACAAAATGTCCTGAAAGACACTTCAACATGGAGCTTTGGTGATTTAAACCACTTCAGTAACAATAAGATGAAAAATAGATTAAACAAAGTATTTCAGATAACTCAAACTGAATAGGAAATGGAATACCAATATGGCAGTAAAACCTTTTTCTGTTGTTTTTAAACAGGAGAGTCTCTTGTACCAGCAGAATCCTGCATACAGATACACACAGAAGGAGGGAATACACCGCTTATAATTCCCATTAAACAAAAGCCGATTCATCATGTGAGAAGGTACAAATTACAGAAAACATGAAGAGTCAATAGAAGACTAAACAACTGGTTTACATGAAAGAGAGAACACTTCAGTCTGAATGCAGTTACTTAGTGAAAGCTGCTACAACAGCCCACAGAACCTCATTCGTGTTGGCTTTCATACATTCAACCTCAGGGTCTAAATCCAAAAGCTGACGCACTCTCTTTGTGGCTAAATCATACTGCTCATCCAAAAGGGGGGCAAAAGCGTTCTCCAGAACATCTGAAGCATGGGCTAAGTAAACAAGTGCCAGCAAGCGCTTGTCCATGCGGTGAGGGTCGTTCACCCATTTGTCAAGAACTGCTTCTTGAACCTTCTTGATGAGGCGCTGTTTGATATTGTTGTTGGTGAGAGGGTGGGTGGTCATGTCAAAAAGGAGGAAGTTCTGTTTCTCTGTTGTCAGTACACCTTTTTCCACTAGATTTTTAGCTAACCGTTCACGGACATTTCGTAGTTGGTAGTGCAACTTCAGTGGGTTCCATGTTTCACCTAAAAAGACAAGCGAAACACCCAATGGTCATGTGAAGTCTAAGCTGCTCTGTTAAGAGTGAATTCCCCACCTTCCCCCCCTCACTGTGGTGGACAACGAGGTGTCAAATTTTTATAGATAACCATCACACTAATATACTGTGCCAATGTCAGCATTTCTCCAATCGGACCTACCTGGATATAGACACAGAGACACAAAATGTAAGAGCCTCCTTGGAGGAACTTCAGTGTACACTTTAAGTATAAAAGTAAAAATCCCCAAACAAGCAAAAACCAAACCAGACACAAAGGAAGAGTTTAACAATAAACATCTTCTCCAATCTTGTGCATTTGTCTACTTCCACCCTTTTACCATTTCAGAGACTGGAAGAAGTGCCATTGCCTTTCTTACTGCCACAGAGGCAAGCTAATACAGACCTACCCGGTGCATTTCTTCATTTCTTCAGGTTTTCATTCTCTCTGTTCCTGCCCTCACCAGGTGAAACAGTAACCATGCACTGTGAGAGTGTGAGCGGTTCGTACATACAAGCACATTACGCAGGGAATTTAATATTTCTATAAAAGTTATTTCTAATGATTTTTGTCAAGGCAGGAGAACTGGGTTCTTTAGAGGGCATGACTGTGTGGGTAGAGGAGGGAATTAAAAAAGCACAAAGTCAGCATCAACAGCTACTGATAAAGCTAGAATTGTTACACACTGAGAAATTCACCTTTGTTTAAGAGTTTACTCAAGTTAAAATTTTAGATCCAGCCTAATAAAGTATTGTCATAAGTACTAAAATCACCTCCTGATCTAAAAGAGTCTAAGCATATTAAGTGGTCAGAGAAAAAAACAGCAGTACTTATTTCTTATACAAGTAGGAGTTTTCCATAAGTACAATACAAATTTCTGTATCAACTTGTTTCTGTATCAGAAAGCTTTTAAAAAAATCATTGGTATGAAAACAACAATAATTAATACCCACAGATTACTTTAAGATTTCTCCTGCTGTGATGGAGGGTGACATATGCTGTATCCAAATAACAGCCACTTAAGTAAACAAATGAGGTGATAACAAGTGCATAGTGAAAGTAGAAAACCCACCCACACCTGAACTATAGAAGTCCCTTGTAGGGCCCACACTCATTGAATATGATTCCTCAGCGTGACCATGAATTAAACTATCACACACACAGACACACACTAAACAGCAGTTTCCTTACAGCGTTTCAAAGGGCAAAGGCTATTTCCTATACGTGTCTACATTTATCAGGTGGATGTGGCTGTACGGCTATAAAAATCAGTACTGTGCTGACACCTTGTGACCGATCTCCTCAATTACACCGACACTTGCTGGTGCAGGCAGATGTTTGTTACGTCTACAGAAGACCCGACATTTTGATTCAGGCTTCTGTATGCCGTACACTTTCTTCTCTTAGAAGCTATCTTAAAAACAACATCAGCCTGGCAAACATGACCTTACACGTCCACATTAACCTTTCCATGATGGATCTGAAATCATATGTACAGTAACTTCAAGCCACATTCTTCACATTTTTGGTAATTATAATGGGAGTAGCTATTTTCAAGGATCAGGCCCTAAAGAAAAAAAAGTTCATAATAAAATAAAACCTAATAAAACACAACAATACTTCTCTTCAAAGGGCAGTCCTCTAAACCATGGGAAATACAAAGAACTCTAATGCCATTCAAGAACTAGTAATAACCATATTTAAGTAAAAATGTTTGATCCAAGTGTTGGTCACCACACTGACAATAACCATTTTCCCAGAGCCAAAGCTCAGCAGGGTCAGGGAAACAGCTTAGCTCAAAGAAAACATACAACATTGTTCATTCATTAGTTGACCTTTTTTAAATCAGTCCTAACTTGATGTGCTCTGCACTGAGAGAGAAGGTGAAATGTCAGCACAAATTATGTATTTGGGAAAAGAAAAATGAGTTGGTTTTGCAGCCTGTTACAGTGAGGGAGAGCTGAGCAAGAACTGAACTGCCAGGCTGTACTGCAGCCATGCCTCCTACTGACAAGGACTGCTTTGTTTTCCTGTCTCCCCTCTCTGCCTGCCAGTCAGTGAGCAAGAAGGGAGGGATGGCAAGGACAGGAGTACCATGTGGATGATGTGCAAGGAAGGCTGTTAACGGTGGTACAGGATGAATGGGAAGAACATAATGAAAACAAGCAAGCAGAGAAAGGTGGAGAAATTTGTTCATTTTTCAAATTCTTACATATCAGTTGTTGGCAAGTAACAGATTAAGAGAGACGACTTCAAGCATCATTAGCCACGCCCCACCCCAACCTCCCAGAGTCATGATGTTGACAAAACAGTGTGTTTTTCTCCTGCAGTGTTGGCACAGGTGAAGTACAGTTCTGCTATACTCCAAGGAGGCTGCTGTGTTTTGTAAAAACAAACGCTGGTGATGAATTCAGGCTACAGAAACAAGAAAACCCCCCAAAACCCAATAAAAGCACTGCATGTTAGAAAATGGTCATTGTTAATTTCAGTTTAATTTACACATCCTAAGGATTCAACTGTTGGCAACGAATATGAAAAAAATGTTAACTGTAATTGTAAAAATTAAATCTGATATTTCATTTGTTTTGTTTTTCTCCACAACTTACTAGCAGTGCAGAAAGTGCTTTGTGTGAAGTACTCATGTTGAAGACTTTATTTTGAACAAGAAACATCTAGCACTTGAAAATATTTATTGAATTTGCTCCCTTAATGAAAAAATAGAACTCCTGACTCTGTTGCTTCATAATTACTGGCCAAATAATCCTCAATTTTCACATCTGTGTGGCAATATTCTTATCTCCTTTCTTCATCAAAAAGATCTGAACACTGAATCCATACACCTACACTCCAAACTTCCACTAACCCTGATTTCCAATTACAGAGAAAGGCAGTTGTATCTCCAGGGTGCAGTCCTGATTTACTGCAGAAACAGCAGAAGACACCTCTTCCACAGAGTTGATATGTCCTCTGACACTTCCATATAGATCCTTTCTGTACCAAGTCAAAAGCAACAGTTACTTATATTTGATTACAGGCTGCAGTCAACAAGAGACTACCTTAGAGAACATACTAATTAACTTTTTTGCATACTTTCTCCCCCAAAACCTTATATCTCTAGTGATGCTAGATAATTACCTTTACTGGGGGTAAAAAAAGCAAATACATTACGTCTAAGGCTTACCACTAAGCAGTTCAATCCAATTTTGTACTGTTTCAGGAGGCTGTGTCTCTTTTATGTGTTTCAGAGCTTCATCAAGCAGAACATCCCCTGTAGGAGCATCTGACTTGCAAATCACCTATGACAGAATAAAACAGTATTTTGACTTAATTCATATACTACAAACATTCACCAGTAAAACTTGGGGAAAAAAAAAAGAAAAAAAATCTGCTATCAAAACTAAAGAAATCTTAAAAAAATAAGGAATCATCTCCTAAGAACTTAAAAAAAAACCAACAAAAAAACAAAAACCAAAAAAACAAACCACCTATTTGTTGAAAAATAGAACCCCAAACCTATCTAAGGATTTTAATTAGAAAGCTATGTCTTAATATAGCTTTATTTATAGGTTATCTACAGGTTATCTATAACTTAAATTAACCTTAACCCCATAGCATTAATAACATGCCTAATGACTAATCTTTAAGCAAGATACTCCACTAACCCAGCCAGGTCATTCACTTCCTCCCCAAAATAAACTTACTAACTATAGTGTTAAACTACTCTCTGATAGCTTCAAGTCAATTTATTCAAAATACTGCAGTTAAACAATTACAAATTAGCACTTTAAAAGCATCAGGTAAAAAGGCAACAGGCAACTGACAAAAAAATAACACAATATGTAAGAGAAGAAGCAAGAGAAAGCGCTTTTTTTTTTTTTTTGTGTAGCACTTCACAGTAGTCAGGTGTCCTGGAAAAGCTTTAAGTGTCTTTTAGAAACACATTCCATTAGTCCTGTTCTGTAGTTCTAGTCATCCTTAATATAAACAGTACAGTGCAGTACATTTTCATAGGGTCTGAGATGACACTAAAATGAGCTACAATACTAAGACAGCTTTAATACTGGCAAGATGATCCCAAACTGCGAGATGTGAAAAGTCATGGAGATGAAATGGAAATTGCTGGAGAGATCTCTGTGAATACCTAAGAGGTCATAGCTGGAAAATTATTTCCAATTTAGATGGCATATATAAAGCAGAGAAAATAAGATTTTTATTAAAAATCAGCATGAATGGAACAGTCCACAATGACGGCAACAAAAGGGCAAAGTTTGTTTAGATCTAAACCGAAAGCATATAAGGTATTTTTTACAAAGAAGGTATCATATTTTATGATGCCTATTTCAGGGAAAAAATAAAAGATATCAGCTTTTTCTGGAAATACAAAAGAGCAGGATGTACTGTCAAAAGCTTCAACAGGCAAATTAAACTGCTAAGCAGCCAGGGAGCTGCTGAATTGCATTCAATGGAGAATTTTAAGACTAAACATCTGCTAGGGAAAACAGAGAAACCTCATTATCTCTTACTGCATCAAGATTAAAGCAAGTCTCCATTTTGGGGAGCTGGAGATCACTTCAACCATAACCCTAGGATGTTTGATTTTAAGAACACAACTACACTTTAATCCAGGAAACTCTTTTTTTAAAAAACACAAAACAATGCATGTTTGTCTTTCTGATTTACAAGCTTCCACCACAGCATCACTCAAGACCTCTATTAAGTACATGTAATGGTATCACGTCTGGCAGTTTTACATCAAGATTCTGATTTTGTTTTGAAGTGTCTGTTCTTTAATTATACAGAAGTATGCTTCAAGTTGGGCTTTTAAGCTGCTAGATTGTGGCTATTAGCCACCTGTCAGATACTCCTTTAATAATTAGCCTAAACCCACCCACTTATCTATCATTTCTTGTTTTCAAAACTGACTTTGCAGCAGTATTTTAGTTTCTCTGAAGTGTCTTATTAAAGTAGTCTTCATTACACTGGATCACTCCAGCCTGTTGCAGCTGGTAATCTACTGCTCACCATTTCATGTTCACAGGCAAGATGTGAAATCACCTTTCTTACCTTCTTTATTAAGAAAAAAACAAAACTAAATAAAACCCCCAAAACAAACCTCAATGAAGAGACAAAAAAATTCTTATAAGTTTAGGATATACATAAGGGTTTTTTTAAAAAGTTTAGAAAACAGCCTTCCTTATTTGAGGTTAAGGTATTTCTTTCTACCACTGCAAAGAAATTTAAAAAGCTAGCCTGAATATAATGCACTGCAACAGTATGAGCCAAAACATATAGCCATTTAAAGGAAAGAGCTGTAAGGAACAAAGACTCTCCTATTAGTCAGGACTCCATAAGCTCTTGTGAAGCCACAATGCACAATTTTGTCTCCAAGTTTACAGCTCTCTGCAGCCAGGCATACACCATTGTTTCTTCCCTGCTCGAGCGAGTCCAGAGGATGCCAGGAAGATGATCTGAGGGCAGGAGTAGCTCTCCTCTGAGAACAGTCTGAGAGACCTGGGGTTGTTCAGCCTGGAGAAGAGAAGGCTCTGGGGAAACCTTAGAGCAGCTCCAGTGCCTAAAGGGAGCTACAAGACATCTGGACAGGGGCTTTTTACAGGGGCCTGTAGTGACAGGACAAGGTGGAATGCGTTTAAGCTGACAGAGGGGAGATTTAGACTAGACATCAAGAAGAAATTCTTCCTTTTGAGGGTAGTGAGGCACTGGCACAGGTTGCCCAGAGAAGCTGTGGATGCCCCGTTCCTGGCAGTGTTCAAGGCCAGGTTGGACTGGGCTTGGAGCAACCTGCTCCAGTGGAAGGTGGATGGCAAGGGATTGGAACTGGATGAGCTTTAAGGTCCCTTCCAACCCAAACCAGTCTATGATTCAATGATTCTTCTCACTTCTCTGTTACACTCACTATTCATGGGACAAATTTTTCTTTGTTCTCCAAAAGAAAGTGAAAAGTGGTTCACACTTCAATGTATTTCTCTACCCCCTCCCTTCCCAACACATGGAGTCAAGCAACCATGGAAAACTAGCCACATCCCTCCTACCTTCATGGGTCTACTCTTTCTTGAAGGATTAACTGGTGAATAAGCTTGGCTAACTCTTCAGAGTCATTAAGAGCACAAGAGCAGCAGGAAATCAAGTGGGTTGGGGATCTTGTGAATTAAATCACTACAGAATTTTGAACATCCACAAGGGAGAATGTTCTTCTATCTATCTTTAATAGAGGAGGTAAGGCAGAGAAAGAACCTAAGATCCTGGCTCTTCAGAGATGGTGGTCTCAGCCTTACTGCAAAAAGTCTTTATTTATTCCAATTTCTCAGTGATGGATTTGGTACTAGATTTGCCTTGCATCCAGCTGCTGAGGAAATTTCAATTATACAGGGTACTTGATTTGCATTTTCCAAAATGCAGCTTTATAATTAAGCAATGTTCAAGATTAAGCACTTCTTGTGTTGATTTTTAAGTAAACTTCATAATCTAGTTTTAGATACAAATACAAAAATTCACTCATAAATTAATAACTCAGAATTGTTAGCTGTAAAATACTGGTATAAATTAATCTGCCAAGGATTTGGTGGGATTTCTTTTAATAACTCTAATGGCTTGGTTTTCTTTCTGAGGTTGTAGGGCAGCACAGAGTACTATTTTCTATCTGCAATAACCGCCAGCCCTAGAAATTAATTTATACATAAACCTCAACATTTAAATATTTATTTCTAAAACTGATACCAGTAGACAGAACTCCAAAATGATGCAGTGATTACATACCCTTAACCCAAATTTAAGCAGATGCTGCAACATGAATACATCATATTGTCTGACAGTTTTTCTAGTCTCATTTGTCTCCCTATGGCATTCAAGCATGAATTTAATATAGCTTGATCCATTCTGAAGTTCTGTCTTAAAAACTGCAAAAATTATCAAAGATCTACCCGATTTAGGGCTTGATGTGCAAATCATTGTAGCTAGCAATCTTTTCAGTCAGTTGTATGAGCAAGGCCACAGTTAGCTGGTCACAAATCCATACTACTGCCCGAAGAACTAGTTCTGCCCTCTTCTTGTGCTCATCTTATTGCTTGTGACAGCAGTCTCACTTGTGCCACACCTGATGACAAGATCAAGATAGCAACTAAAGTAAAAAATAAGCTGACTGAAGCTTTTCAGCCAGAGGGGTTACACAACAAGGCTGCAAACATGCTAGTAACAATCCAAGAGAGACTCCAGTAAGTTTCTTTGCAAAGACAGTACTACCCTTCTCATCTGCCATACAGGCTAAAGTGACTGAAAACTAAACTCCTCCCTTCAGATCATGGCTTGAAGATACAGGGTTCTGATTCACAAATCAAGGTTTTGAGTTTTTAGGAGGTTTGACCTTCCCACAAAATTGAAAGATGGACCTGGCATGAGGATGAAGAAGGGCTAATCTGGATGACATAAGGTATAGAAAATGGTACTGCCATGAATCACAACCTTGGATGCACTAGACAGCTCATTCCACGCACTAAGCACAGTATTTAATTCACAGCATAAGCTGAGGGCAGGGGGAGCAAAGCCTGCAAAAGGGAATCAAGGAAGACACTTGGTAGAGCTGAGGCATCTAAATCTAGCCAACACAGAAACAAGACTGAAATTTTATGTTAATGCAGAACTTAAAATAAGGCACAAAACAATACAAGTCATTCATGAAAATAATTTCCAAACTGAGAGCTGGTGCAGGAGAAGAAATCTCAAATATATCACCAGGTGATATCACCAAAAAGAAATCATTTAAGCAGAAACCAATCTTCATTTAAATTTTAAATTAAAGTTTTTTTCACAGAATCCTCCTGCCTGCAAAAAGAAATCTCAATTGCCTTACAGCAGAATAACAAAACCTTTAATATTGGGTAGCTTAATTAAGAGAAGGGAAGGAGAAAACAAACACACCCACCCCCAAAACAACATGATAAAATTTAACAAAAATTAAAATTAAGAAAAAACCTACCAAATTAAAAAAAAACAATGAAAACAACCAAGAAAAAAAAAAAACATACCTCCCACCTCCAAACCAACAAAACCACACAAAATAAAACACTGGGAAACAAAAAAAAAAAAAAAGACAATAACTTGCTTGCCTTCTTTATTGTAGATAGACCCAGGTTAATTTGCCATTTTCAAAACAAATAAGCAAAAAACACTTCATAATTAAAATTTCAGGTTGATAGAGCTGACAATGTTTACAACAACAACAACAACAAAAAAATACTAAAAACATTCTTATATGCCTAAGAAGCCAAAAGTTTTGGAGAAAAAAAAAATATGCAAACTAATACTGAGTATGCTTTAAATGGAGCTAAAAGAAGTAGGAGCTGTTTGTCTGAACAGAGGTTAGATTCAAGAGGGTGAAGCTGGGAGAAGGTTGGGGAATTTGTAGCCTTTACTTTAAAAAACTTAGCAAAAGATAATATTGACAGGGAAAAGTGCCATAAAAGAGAATTTATCTGTCATGGATAGAAAACATTTGACCATGTCTTCATTAATCCTGTAAAGTAAGTATCCTCTAATGCTGATGAAGTAAAAATTCTTCTGACACTTTGACTTTGCACATGTCATACAATGGAAAAATCCAGGAGCAAAAGTAATACATTAAGGCCTGAAACCTTCAGCTAATTTTATAAAGGACCTTAAAAATCTGGCCATCTCAGAAGGTCAGTGAGTGGTACAATATATTTAATACACCACTCATGCTTAAACTAGATAGAATTTTGTTTTCTGGGGGCCCAAGGTACAAGGTTAGTTTCCTTCTGTTCCCCTGCACAAACTGCAACATCATGTTCACCAGAATAAACTGATGGCTTGAAGGACACAGCTGGCAGGCTGTCAGCCATTCTTTTCAGCTCTAGCCCACATCTCACCAACCTTGCACAAGCCACTTCCTTCGGCAGTAGTACCACAAACAGTGGTACTGGCTCTCAGCAGTAATGGCTGCCACTGCACCCTGACCAGACCCACTGTCAAATATTTGTACAAGATTCCGAACAGTTGCAGGAACACATCAAGAGAACAAACAGAAGCAGAGAACAAGTACTGAAGGCACGTCAGCTCACCACTGAAACACTTAACTCTGTGAATCTAACTTACATCACTTCAGGATCCCTATGCCCACGTAAAGAAAATAAGTCTTTTTCTTATAACCAATGTAATTTACAGGTCCTGTACTTCCTTAAGCATGATACAAAAGCAACTGTGATCATTTTCTTCCACTTACCTTTCTTGTTAGTAGACTCTTGCGCCTCATTCCACAAGCCTCTAGCTGAAGACGCCCTCGCAGTGCCAATTCAATTAACATACAACCACGCAATCCTGAGGAGATACAGTCATTCCAGAATGATGTGTAACCCTGTGAAGAATGAAAGACAGTAAGATATCTCTATCTCCGCAAAGCAAACAGAAAACGAGGCTTTCTGCATTCTCTAAGCAGTTTTCCTGTCTTCACACAGGTTTGAAGTAGCATCACAACCACCTCTCCTGAAAGAGAAATAGACTCATCCCCTGTTGAGACAGTTAAGTCTTCTGCTCTTTGAGGAAACATGGAAACCTCAGGGAAGTGATACAAAATGAAAGGGCAAGACATGAACAACTACAAGATACAAAGTGTAGTTTATACATAGACAAACTAACCTTACTACCTTTAAGACACCAAGCATTTGGCATTACCTACACCACACAGGCTGATCTGAATTTCCTGAGAGATTTTTATATGGTATTACATCCATAAACAATATGGCACTGATAAAGTAATAATAAGCTGAAAATAGATATTAAGTAAAATATGGAGTGTACTGGAAACACAAATGTGGCAATCAGTAGAAACCAGAGAACCCATTTTTTAGCTTGAATATAGTAAACCAAAGTTTTCAAGCAACTAGTTGGAAAAGCTATTTTGTTATTTAAATCCTTTGAAAATGTATTTTTAAACCTTAATACCCATTATTCTTATACAGACTGCAAAAAAGCAAAACATTTATTCTATGAATTATGTGACATCCAGCAATGCAATTTTATTCTATTCTGCCAATACAGATACATAAGATTCACGCATCTGAAATCCACTGAACTTACAAATCAGTCCCTTACTAATGCATGCCATTAAATACAGATTTCCAGGAACATGAGAATACTTATTTCTATATAGCACTTAACTATTTTCAAGACCTGTATTACACAGATGACCAATACTTCTGAAAAACTACTGAAATATGTCACAGATATTTGCTTAAAAGGCCATAAATAAAAGGTTGGCAAGACATTTCAAGTTATTTAATCAGTCTTCTAATAAGAGCTGATACTTTGCAAGCAACAGCTACTCTCATAAATCAGCCCTCCTGTAAATTAAGATTTCGGTTAGCACCAGCCATTTCTTGGCTGAAAACCACGCAAGATAAGGAGCAATATTTGCTTGATGGGGAGGGTAAAAAAATAAAAACAAACAAAAAAAAGAGACTCCTACATTCCACTATTTCTAATTAAATACTCTCCTTACATAATAATTTTTGAAATAAGACAAAATATACAAACTAAAAATCTACTGCACAAAGTTACAGCTGTGGCACAATATCCACTTCTTTCTGTTCACAAAAAAAGTTTTATAAATACACAAACAATTGAAGTGCTGTTTTTTCCATCAGGAATGAAAACTGAATTTCTTTTTATAGTGAGTTGCAGAGAAATAGAAGATGACAGATTAACTCAGGCTGGAAAGGACCACAAGAGATCTCTAGTCCAACCCCCTGCTGCAAGCAGGTTCAGCTATTAAGCCAAGTCAAGTTGCTCAGGGTTCTATTCAGGCAAGTCTTGAAAACTTCCAGTGATGGAGACTGCACAGCCATCCAACAATTTTTAATGAAGTGATCCTGAAAGGCAGCTCAAAAAGATCATATTTTTTTGTAAATGGAACTGCCTGTTCTACTGGGTTAGATGACATCAAAGTCATGAGAATGCATATGTGTGTGTGTCCCCCACCCCAGCAGGTAAGGAGTTTGCAGGTGAACCACTAGAGAAGGAGCACTGTATTTCAATTATACTGCTATGACTACAGTGAGAAAGCAGGTGCTTTAGAACAGCTGGTGATATCCTGAACATTTTTCAATCCATTAAACTGATCTTTCCAGATAGTTTAGGCAGATGGACCGTTTTTGGCACTTACTGCAACGACCTCAGACAACTGAAGGGAACCTTCACAGAAGGTCAGTTAAGCATGTTACAGTCTTAACTAAATCATCCTTTAAATTAACTCAAACTTCTTGGTATGACTGAAAATGAGTAGAAGCAGACATTTATCTTCAACACTGCAAAAAGCTTCTTGACACCCAATTTAAATGGCATACAGCATAACTATAATAAAACGCACAACAGTAACACTCAGCATTATAGAACTACTGACTATTAAGGAGGTTATAGATGGTGCAGAAAATGAGCAAAAGAAGTAGAGAGAATAATAATAATAATACACAGAGAGGGAGCATAAATAATGTACTATCTGCACAGGAAACAATTGCCTTTTCCCCACAAACAATGTCTAAAATGTGCTAAATGAACCTAGCTCACTGGTTAGAAAAGTAAGAGGTCAACTTCTTATCTATGTTTCAACTGGTTTTCCACAAAAGCAAAAGTTTTTTAAAATACCCTTTAAAAGTTAAACTCACAGTAGATTAATAACCACGTCTGACAGACAGCAATGGATCTGTAAACCGCACATGGCCTTGAAAGCTCCCACACAGCTGAAGCCAGTGTACACGGACAGAGGTTTTGTCAGTCTGTGCACACCATTCCCTGAACAGGTTACTCATTGTTCATTACAGGTTATGGAACAAAACAGGGATTTAGCTTGACTGTTTAACACTGTTCTCACTGTTATTCCAAATACCTAACAGCCTCAGAACACTTAAATTGAAGATCAAAGACCACTACTTACAGATGCAAGTCATTCCACTATTTAATATTCTCAAACAGCACTAGTTTTCTCACAAACACAACACCAAGTAATTTTACTTTACCTTTCTTCCTACAAGTCTTTTATAATTATATAAACATCCTACCTCAGTGAAATACTTATACCATTAAAGTTGCTAAGCATCAGGAAAAGAAAAAAAGAGATCTCACAAGGCAGGGAGTTATTTTTATCTGACAGCAATTGCACTACAACAGCACTTCAAGCTATGAATAGCTTGCAAAACAAATTTTAACAGTACATTGATTCAAAGATCAAAAGAATATTTACAACTGACACGTTTATTTACACAAACACAGCACAAAAGCATTTTATGTCAGAGCTAACCTAGAAATTTTCAGGCAAAAACTAATTTGCTAGACAAGCATAAAGGGAAATGAGACTAGTCTGTAACAGAAACTTGTTACCATATTAACTTTGAAAGCTCAGACTTTCCACCCAGCTATGGCAAAGCACAGAGCTACAACAAAAACGCACTTTGTGCTTAGACTAAGTTACCCAAAATCCGTGTTCATTAGGCCTTTTCTCTCCCACCATCTCCAGCAGCATTTACTCGCTTTCTCCTCTTCCCATTCCATTTATTTGATTTCCAGCTCACAAAGGTCTTCCAGTTCAGTTAGCCATTATTCACTTGAAATTCTCACTATAGTCCATCTCCTAATGATGGCCCTATACCTCGGGGTGTTACCCAGCCTACCTTATCTTCCACCCTCTGCTTTTTCCTTGCCTCTAGCTGCACTTGTCAAACTGTGACACTCTCCCTCGTACAGCAGCACCCTTCCCCACCTCATCTTACTGTGACATACAAAACAGTAACTTATCACTTAGAGATTTATAACGATTTGAATTTGTGGCCCTCATGGATTTCCTTAGATCTGTTCACACAGATGGTGCTGACAAGACAGCAAAGTATTTATGCTACTTACAGTGAGCAGCCATCTTATTCCTGCCTCTGCTCCAAGAGAGACAAAGCTGTATGATATACAGATGTACAACTAATCCTTACCAATAATGCTGGCTCTAGCTCTGCTGAGCAAAGCACAAGCTCTTGCAGCTTCCTTACTTACTGTAGGAACACCCCAGCTGGTACCTGTATATAAAACAGTACAAACTTTAATTCATATTATTCCCTAACAACACCCTTTCCCAGTTTGCCTCCAGGTCCCCGCGTCTCAGGCTTCACAAAGCTATACTTAAAATGGAATAGGGTCCTAAGACTTGCAAAAAGTGTGTCTAAGGACTGCTGAAAATTATGAAAACTCCTACATAGACAAATAAATAATGTCATTCAGCAACTCAAAAATTATCACCCAGATTTGAAAAACCTGTTGGGATCATCTGTGTATGCTGTAATAAAGCCACAGGTAGATGGACAAACCACAGCAAGAATACACATACACAACAGAACAGCATTCAGAATTTGGTGGATATTGAAATGTTTTATTGAAGCACTCCATACAACTGATGCCATTGCACATTTACAGACATTACCTCAAAATATTTCTTGAGGAACAAATGAAGAACAAATCTTTAATGGATTAGAGTGACTAAAAAAAAGACTCACACAAGACCAGGTAATCTTTTAGTTAAAATAGTTTTTACATTTTACAACAGAAGAGTTACTAAAAATCTCTCCCCACTACAGAAACATACATTCTCTCTGATTCTTCAGCTAACTCAGAATAGTAGTGTCAGTAGCACTATACCTGGCACAGACCGGAAAAGAGTGAAAAATCCACTGAAATCTCTTAAGAGTCAAAAGAAAAGAAACACTTGCAGAGTTCCAAGCCCGAGTCTTCAAGATACACACATGATAAATAAATAGAAATAAAAATTCACAGAAACAAAAATTCTGTATTTAACTTACTTGTTTAACGCCACCTGTTTACATTGTGCTGTACAACATTCTGTAGACTGTAGCTGCCAATGCATTCCCTGATACAACCCAGGGAGTCTCAAGATATTACAGATTACTTTGCAGACCACAAAGCCATGGCTAATGGAAATCAGCTTTGTTAAGTCTTTCAAAAAAGCATTATAAAGGCGTAATAGATAACTGAGGGTTACAACAGCCCTGACTCAGACTCAATTTATACTTACGAAGAACCACAACAGCAGAGTTTCCCTGGGATAATGGATATAACACTACCCGGTCTATACTTCTCTTAGTAAAAGCCTTTTCATTTTACATTCAGACTTAATAATACCCCTTAAGCCTTCACCTAGCACCCTCTACTTAGAAGCAAAAGACCTATGGTAGCCAAATGGAAATAAACTACACCTTCTGAAACAGAAAAGTCACTACAGCTACCCAAACCCCTGAATTCTTGCTCTCCGGAAATTCTGAGTTCTTAATTTACAAAAGACACAAACAAACACTTCAAAAATTG